TTTTTTTAGCCATGTAGAAATGATGAACACAAATTTTAGCCATAGTTTGAAAAAAACATCTTTTTTAGCCATTTTGGCACATGAAAAGTCTTAAATACCCTTACTATATTTTTTTTTTTAAAAAAAAAGTTTATCTCTCTTCTCTCCTTCATTACCTTCATCTTTTTTCTCTCTTAAAAAAAAATTAATTCTCTTAACAAAAAACAAAAAAATTCATTCTCTCTATATTCATTCCGTCAACATTCCGGTGATATATCGGGAATACTAGTGTAAAGGTATTGTTATAATTTTTTTATTTAATGGGCCACATATATATACTATTAAAATTAATAAATGAATATGGCAAAAAAAAATGTAGAATAGATTTCTTGGAACATTGAATGATTTCTGGGTCCAGAAATCGAATCTGGGCCCAGAAATCGATTTCTGGATAGTCTCGTTTCTTTCCCAGAAATAGATTTCTGACCCAGAAATCACATTTCCGACCCAGAAATCAATTTCTGGATCGTCTCGTTTCTTGTCCCAGAAATCGATTTCTGACCCCAGAAATCGATTTCTGACCCAGAAATCGATTTCTGGGACAAGTCGTTTCTAGTCCAGAAATTATTTTCTTGCCTAGAAATCACATTTCCGATCTAGAAATCAATTTCTGGGTAAAAAATTTAATTTCTGGGCCAGAAATGTGATTTCTGGGACCCAGAAATCGTTTTCTGGATTATCTCGTTTCTAGTCCAAAAAATGTGACTTCTGGACCAGAAATCACATTTCTGGTCCAGAAATCGATTTGTTGACAAGAAATCAATTTCTGGCCCTGAAATCACATTTCTGGGCCAGAAATCACATTTTTGACCCATAAATCGATTTCTGGTCCAAAAATCGATTTCGTGACAAGAAATCAATTTCTGGCCCTGAAATCACATTTCTGGCCCAAAAATCACATTTCTGACCCATAAATCGATTTCTGGGACGAAAATGTGAACAAATCGATTTCTTGTCACAAAATCGATTTCTGGCCCAGAAATCACATTCTGACACAGAAATGTGAACAAATCGATTTCTGTGTCAGAAATGTGATTTCTGGGTCGGAAATGTGATTTCTGGTTCACATAAATCCTTTTTCTAGATTATCTCGTTTCTAGTCCCATAAGTGTGATTTATGGACCGGAAATCGATTTCTGGGACAAGAAATCGATTTCATGACAATAAATCGATTTCTAGTCCAGAAATAGATTTTTGGGTTAGAAATGTGATTTTTGGCCAAGAAATTGATTTCTGGACCAGAAATCCGATTTCTGGACCAGAAATCCAATTTCTTGCCCGAGAAATCTGTTTTTAAATTGTTTGTCATTAAATTCTTGTCCTAGAAATCTGTGTGATTTCAAAAATCATTTTATAAACCATTTTATTTGATTTGTTATAAACATTGATTACTTAATTCTCAAATAATTATTTGAAATTGTTTGTCATTAAATACGTTTACATCTTTGGTTTCCAGATGTGTGAAAAAGTTCGAATTGTGCATAGCGGATTTTGGGATGAGAATGTTTATAAAAATGGACAGGCAGAGATGAACTTTATGCGCTTGGGGAGCTTGTCGTACGAAGACTTTTTAAATAGAGTTAATGACATGTTAGTGTAGACAAACACACATGTGAGTATCGCTTTCACTTTTTAATGACGAATGAAAATGGAGAGTTGAAAAATGAAGAATTTCTTGTGAATCTAACTTGCACAATTTGACTGAATTGTTCAAAGTACCAACCATATATGTTACCTTGCGAGCCATAGATCGTGGAATAAGTGAATTTTCTACTCAACCACCAACTTCCATTCTTTTTTTTTTTTGTTGCTCAAGGTCAACCGTTCTATCCATATAGTGTTACCGTTCCATCTTTTGCGAACTTACATTGACAAAGCAACCCAAATATCAGTTCGGTTTTGATAATAATACAGTGCAACATTCCACTTTAATTCCATCTCTTGCGAACTTACGTAGGCAGCTATTCAAAAACTGTACAGAACCCTAAATGAATTAAAATAGAACTCCATAAATTAAGTAACATATTATGATAAGCTTTAGTTCTTAATGTTCTGTGTCATAATAGGACTCGAAATCATTATTTAGACTCTGAATATTGCCCAAGGAGCAGCAGGCACAAAAATTGGATATGTAAATTGTAAAGCAAACTTGAAAAGAAAATAAAAAAATATCATTACAAAAGAGTGACATTTGAACACTTGCCCAGCCACTAAATGATATAGTCCAGCAGGTAAAGCAGAAAACTCAACCGAGATTAGAAATCACGGCATCCACAACTTCTTGGGTGGTACTATCTCCACCGAGATCCTTTGTCCGGTATTTACCTTTGGCTATAACACGCTTCACAGTAGTTTCTAGTCGATCAGCAAATGAAGGAAACTGTAAGTGTCTTAGCATCATAGCCGAAGAAAGGAGAAGACCTACTGGATTTGCCTTCTTTTGCTCCAGCAATTTCTCATTCCCCACATTACCAGCAGAAGCACCTTGCTCGAAAATGGCATGATCTGTCCCAACATTTCCTGAACCATCAAAACAAAGACAATATTATTTACTAAGTCTCAAAAAAATATCATCCCTGTCCAATTTACATATAAATGAATTTAAGGGGATCTATCGGTCAAAATCCCGAATAAGTAACAGCTAATCCCAAAATTGAGCACCATATAATCTATAATTAGTTTATTTCGGTCTTCTATCTCTTCACTCAGGAGCACCAATTGCAAACCGACATCTTACTATGTAAATGGCATATCCACTTAAGATTGAGATGGGTGCATTCTTTGAATTTCAAATGAGATAAAAGTTATTGAAACTATTCGTCATATATACCACCAGGCATGACTCTAGTACCCCCGACAATACCAGCAGCTGTATTTGCAACTACATTCCCATATAGGTTAGGAGTCACCTGAAAAAAATTAAATTCTCACTAATACGTTGTATGCAAAAAAAGCAGTAAAGATTAAATTATGAACACAACCTAATTGAACCGTGGAAAAGAGAACCAATGAAAGACGAGAAAGAAGACACAATTTAACACAAAGATTTAGCCACTCTAATTCGACAAAGAAACCAAGGGTAAAGATAATGATTTTCAGAGATACGCCAGCCTTATTTTGATTTTCTGATCAAAGCAAAACAGAATGATAAGAGGTACTTTATTCAGAAAGCAAACAAATCATCAAGATGGGAGCTTACTAATGGCCTTCATAAGTCTGCATTTGCAGGGTTTGGCCATATAAAAGAATTCAACCATACAGGTTCAACAGAAAAATTAATGAGGACTGATTTACGGCAGTTGTTTGGCTATAGGACCCCGCAGCCAACATGCCCGAATTAGTCGGAGAAAAAACAATTGAAGATATAATACCTAACCACAAGAAAGAACGAACTTAATTAAGAGCCTAGTAAAAATGATATGATCGTATAAATGAGGACTGATTTATAACCAAACATAGTCTAATTATGAAACATTAAGACTAATGAAGGTTGAATCAACACAGTTGTTTCGAAGAATGGAATATCACAAAGATGTATGATGTGCTTAAAACCTGACTGCCCTTCTTTGCTTTCTGAAAGAGTTGAATGCTGTCCAAAATCTCTACCCGGCCGATGAACATCGAATATCCTAATAGTTTTGTTGTATCCCACAAATATCCTGAATCAGAATATAAATATCACTACATCGTCATTGGAGTAAGAATAGGATAACTAAGGATAGGATAACTCATAAAAAGTTAAAAAAAACAATAAAATAATAATAACAAACATAAACTAGTGAAATAACAACAGGCGCTTCATAAAAAGCAAACACGCAAACAGACGAAAGATGTCATATGTGACGCACTGATGGACGTTAAGATCAGAAAACCAAGCATAATGCCATCAGGATAAGAACATAAATGCATAATAGTGTTAATCACAACAAACTCTTAAAAATAGATGGTAGCCAGTCCCTGAGAGCTTATCGTGGACGGTATATAAACAGACGAAAGATATTAAAACAAACTTATACCACGTATACATTTTTTCAAATGCCAAAACAGAGTAAAATATAAAGTGACTCTTGGTAATCAAAAGTGGTTAAGTCTAATTAAGGTCTTATCCTTAGGCCAACTAAGTTAACATGAGATTGATCTCCATAATTGCAGTCCACATAATATTAAGAAATGGGCAGTTGAGTGACAAATGACAATATTATAACAAATAATCCATCGATATCACACGAGCATGATTTCTTAACACGAACTTGCATGTAAATACTTAGTCCCATCAGGGTTGAAGCCAATTGAAAATGCAGCAGTAATTTCATCCACGGCATCATAGGAACGATAAGTGCAGCGTAGCTGTATTTTCCATTTCACAAGTACTTGTTACTGACATCAAACAGTAGTATAATAAAAAAGAAGTAGTACACAAATCAAGTTGGCGTGTAGATGGTACCTGTCCAGAATTGGCATCCCAAAGATAAATAGGATGGTCGCGTGTAGACGTTGCAAATACGCATGAATCTGGACCTGTAGCAGTCACAGTCACATGCTAAATTATACCCTAAAAAACTGACAATTGGAAAAGACCAAATCATGCGGGGAAGATGTACTTGAAGCAGACATGTAGGGGTACCAGCAATAGTCATACACAACTTCTCCCTCGCCAATGACTAGGTTTGCCTCATAAGAGTCTGAAAGAAAGTTGAAGCTAAGCCAAGAGCCTCTAAATGAAGCTTTGAAAATCAACGACTTAGTCGAAGCTCAGATCTGTAATCTCATCAGAGCCAAATTTAAACAGTTGAAGCATGGAAGGAATCAAGCAATTACCAAGACATTTACTACACAATTGAATATAAAAAAATTTAACATGCCAACAAAAAAAACCCTAACCTGAAAGCCGCCGGCCGTCTCCGGTCAGGGACTAGACCATCCTCCAACCCACGCCGTCGATTAGAGTATCAGCCTGCCAAATGCCGAGATCGAGACGCCGCTTCCACCGCAGGGGTCCAGATGTCGCGCTGCTGCCAGAGCATGCCTCCGCCCATTTTTTGGCGACGAGGAGCACGGTCGGAGGTCGGATGTCGTCGGCGACTGCGGAGGTCGTGAAGTCGTCGTGAGTGGAAGCGAGTAATTGCCGGCGAGGAGGTCGCGAGCTTCTTTTAATCTTTTTTTTTTCTTGCACGATTTTTTTTTTAATGAAACGATAGATTAATATTAAAACAAAAACAGAAGTTACAAACTAGAACAACCAATACAACTTGAAAATCAGCTACTAAGCTGAATCTAATGGAGGACAACCCCGACTGCTAATATAGCATACAGGCATCCTAAGCCGAGACACCAACGAGACACTAAACTAACAAAAAACAAACACAAGGCTCCAACTTGTGGAGAATCGAACCCGATGACTCCAACGGGTGAAGAAAAGAGAAGAACAAACACCCCCAAAACAACACACCCTAACTACAAACAAACAAAAGAGACACCAATCAACAAACTAAAAAAGACACACACCTAGTAGAGAAAGCCTTCCCCTACTACAGGCAAGCACACCGCAGCTACCACCCCATCCGGCACTCGATTCACAAAAATAAATCCACTCCAAGGTCAGAACAACCGAGAACAGCAAATCCAAGCCCCAGAGCCAAAAACTCCAACTCCTCAAGCGGCTAGTCGGATCTGGCGAGGAGTCAAATCTCAGCCTAGATCCGAGTTCCGGCAGCGAACAAAATGGATGGGAAGAACAGCAAAACAGGTGAATCGAACCACAACACCGGCGGGTCCAGCCCATCCCCAAACAGTGACCCAAAAGGGCCGGAATTCAATCGCAGAGGGCTAGCCCGACCCCAAAACACTGCCCGATAACAATCCCGGCGGCAGGATGGAACACACGGTGGCCGAAGATGGAGGATGGCGACTGAGAACCGACACCTCTTTGCACCACGCAGAAGGAAATCGCGAAACCTCCTCCACGCGGCACCAGGTGGCTAAAGAAATTCTCCATCTCCGGCAGTGGCCGGTCCGGAGAGAGGGTCTTGTGCGGTGGCGGCGAGTAGCAGGAGGGGTAGGTTTTTCTTGAGATCTGGAGAGAGAGAGAGAGAGAGA